CAGATATAGCCAGGATTTGTGGGCACAACCTCCAAGGACCAATCTGGAAGGATATAAAAGGCAGCACCCAATAATTTCACTGCCACTGCTTCAGTCTCATTCTGCTGTGCTCCTATTCCTGGAGTGGCCCATCCTGGTTGTGGGACACATCTCTCCTCATTTTTCTCTCTTCCTTCACTCTTTTCTTTCTTGCTTCTCTTTCCCCCGCTTTTCCTTTCTCTCTCTCTCTCTCTCTCTCTCTCTCTCTCTCTCTCTCATTAAATAAAAGTTGTGTTTAACTGTTCACTGGCTATCTGGCCTCTTCGGACACTGTACCATCTGACACCAATTCTATAAATGCAAGCCTCTCCTTCCACTCCAAGCTCTGCCCCAGGACTGTTCGACACACACTTTACAGAAGCATGTTGCAAACACAGTATGTGTCCTGGGGTCAGAATCCAGCAGTCCACAGTTAAAGAATTAAAAGCACCTTGGACCAGGGATTTAGCTCACTGTTTCTGGCGCCTGCCTTGCAAGCACAAGGTTCCCAGTTCAATCCCCGGTACCAAAAAAAAGCCTCTCCTTTCTCCTCCACACACCCTTGTGTACACGAAGGTGTGTATACATGAAAAATCTATATTCACATATTTTTACAAAATAAAAACCATGCTCTCTGTAGAGAAAGATTTGCAAACAAACCAAAACAACCACCAGCGACAGTTCTAAAAGGAGCAGAGACCCATTCTGGCACTACCCAAAATAGTTTTGGTTTTCCCTGGCAACAAATGAGGCTAACTGAGCACAATTATCATTTGTGATGACCCTCAAATAGAAAAGAACAAAAAGAAAAGAAGAAACAAAGAAACACATAAAATAAGACAGATTATATCTATTTGCACTAAGGGAGGAGAACATGTAACGTCAATACAATTTTCCAACTTACAAGGGTTTCACATATATACACATACATATACATATATATGCAGGCTTGTATATATTTTAATGCACAAATACATATAACACTCTCATGTGACTTTTAAGATGACTACAGCTTTTTTTCAGTACTGGGATTGAGCCCAGGGAGCACTGAACTATATCCTTAGTCCTATTTATTTTATCCTGAGACAGGGTCTTTCTAAGTTTCCCAAGCTGGCCTTGAACTTCTAATCCTCCTGCCTCAGCCTCCTGAGTGTTTCAGATTATGAGCATGCACCACCATACCCAGTGCCTGCAGTTTATTTTGCAGGTATTCTTTGCACTGACTCCTAATTGGATCTGTCCCCTTCAGCACCTGTAGTCTAAACACATGATTCCAAGGGACCAGGGCACCAGGGCACCAGGGCCTGTTCTGCTAGGCAGTGAGGCCTCTCTGCCCCTAATAGTGACTGACACAAACTCAGTAGACATGTTTTAAATGAACGACTACTAATTCGAAGCTTCGGAGGTCATCCTTTCCCTGTTACGATTATGTCTAAGATTTTCCAATTGTTAGCCCTGAGACCATTGTCCCCATCCAGCTGGTGGGTTCTCTCAACCCAGAAAGAATCACAAGGCAGAGTCAAAAGAGAACTGAGCAACAGTATTTATTGTAGGGTGAAAGCAGAAAGCAAAAAGCTCCCAGTTATTGAACCAGGGAGGGGACCCAAGGGGGCTGCCATGGGAACCCTTGGTCTAGGAGTTTTTATACACAAAAAGCCTGCATCTCAGCCAAGTTGGGGTCCACCTATGGGTCACAATCAGAAAAAAATGGCTTAGAAGCGGGCCTTAAGAACTCAGGGCAGGCAGCAAGCGTACTTTTGCAAATTTTCTAAAATTAATTGCAAATTTTCCAAAACTAGCAGAACAGAGCAAAGACAGTCTTTAAAGAGGTGCGAGCCTCTGAATGACACACAAATTTTAGAAAAGGGACTCTAAGCTCAACCACGCCTGCAGAGGGCTCAGGGCTCTGGGTTCGTTCTCCGAGGTCTCTCCCTGTCTCCCCTCTTCCACCGTGCTGTGCTGGTCTTCCTTCATTCTAACTTGATTTCCATGATCCAATTCCCTTGCTGCCCACTTGCCTGTAGAGTTCACAATAAAACACAACGTTTCATTTGTTAGAGTACAAACGGGGCTTTTTCTGCCATACTTAATGTGATACGTAAGGATAGAGGCAAATGCTTCTTACATATGTGATAAATAGCATTAAGGCATAGAACCCTCCTTTAACCCTACCGTGCGGGACCAAGATTTGATTTAGAAAAGAGACTTTCTTATACTCATTTATACATTCTTCACGTCAGATCCATCTTTGGTTTTACTGGGTGATTATGCAACAACAACAACCACAAATCGACCTGAATCTGGAATAACCTCGGCCCCTCCCAGGCGGGGAGCTCCCCACTTCATGTCCTTCCCTACTCTTGCTGCTCCTTTGCAGTAAATCGTTGCGGTAAATCTTTGCTGCAGTAAATCTCTTGCTGCAGTAAAGCTCTTGCTACGCTGAGGGTCCCGCTCCATTCTTTGATTGGGCACCAGGAACCTGGAAACAGCTTCCCTGAGGCCCGGTCCTGTAACAGGGCCACCGGCTCACCTGACGCCTTGCCTAGAACACCTGATCCTGTTCTTGCATTTCTTCAAAGCTAAAAATAAAGTGAAAAGTGGGGGTCCGGGAGCCCCTGGAGACGATGCATCGCATCTGATAGCAGGTCCCTCTCAAATTCAGGATATGAACGTGGCCACGTCGTGCTTGCGGCGATTGCAACACTAGCTCGGCCGGAAGTTCTACTGTTCTCTTAGCGCACTGCCGCCGCGAGCCCCGCTACTGCGGGCCTCTCCCCAGCTGCGGTTTCTCTCGCTGCCATGAGGTGGTGCTGCTGCAGCAGGTCCCAGGACCCGAGCCAGTGGGCTCCACAACCGAGGCGCAGACCCGGGAACGGGGGGAGGGGCGGAGGCGGGCTCGCCTGCAGGGGGGCCTGAGCCTTTAGGTTCCGACTAAACGATTCCTTGTGGCCCAAGTCCCTTTATCTGCTCTCCCGATGGGAGCGTCTGGCACAGCGCCGCAGGGCTTCGCGGCCGGGCCTGGCCCGGGGTCGGAGACCGAGCCCTCCCCGCACTGCCTGCTCCGGCCGCGCAAGGCTGCTCCGCCTTTCCGATCTCGTCCTCTCCAGAAATGGATCGTACAGAACCGAAACTTTGGGGTCGGCGTTTCCCACTCAGGGGGATCCCCTGGAGATCCGAGCGAGTGATGCACTATGGTTCACACACACTCGCTCACACACACACACTCTGGGGCTTGAACCCAGGGCCTTTGCACTGAGTTATGTTCCCGGCCCTTCTTTAGGATCTCGCTAGATCGCTAAGCTCCCCAGACTCTCACGCTTCCTTTTTTCTGCAAAACCCGTACTGGTGCTTTCCTGGCGTGCAGAGTAACCGCTCTCCTCGCAGGGACTCTGCGGCTGCTCAAGGAGCCTCCGTCGCTTTTCCCTCCCCCTCGCGGTAAGCCCCCCCCTCCCCTCCCCTCCCCTCCCCGTATGCACAGCTTTGTTTCCATTGTTTTCCTTCTATTTTCGCTTTTTGCCTTGTCCCTTCCTTTCTCTTTTCCCCTTCCCTTGTTCCCCTCCCATTTGAACCTTTTCTTCCCATTTCTCAATATCTAGTATACATTTTAGCCCTTTTTCCACTTTTGGTTTCCCACGCTGGGGAAACAACACGGTATTTAAACGTGTGTCCGATCTGTTTCACTGAAGTGCGGTCCCAAGGTCCACGTTTGGCTATAAAGTGGACTCACTTTTTCACCAGGGTGTTAGGCACGGACGTGGGGGAGGAGGCGGGGCCAACCCGCGTCAGCCAAAACACCAGCGGTGGGCGGGGAACGGGGCGGAGGTGGTGGGCGTGGCTCTGGGCAGAGGCGGGGCCTGGAGCCCCTCCTTACCCAGGAGGGAGCCAAGGGCGAAGTGTGGGCAGGCTACACGCCAGGGGGCGGGCCTGAGGGGGGGCGTGGCCGAGCTGTGTGGGCGGGGAGAGGCTCCTGGTACCCAGAGCGCAGCCGCAGCGCCCTGGAGGAGAGGCGGAGCACCGAGCCCCCTGGGCCCGCAGTGATGCGACCTGGCGCCGCATTCCGCGCGTGCGTCGGGAGGGTGAGTGCTCGCTTGGGCTTCGGCACGCGCGGACGCTCCCAGAACTGCCGGGCGGAGAAGTTGCTCGTGGTTGGTACTTGGCGGGCCGGACGTGGACAGGCCCTCCGGGTCCCTCGCACCACGGGCCCAGCGCCTCACCACCCTCCGGTGCGGCCGCCGCGCGCCAGGCCGGGAGCTAACCCGCCCCGCGCCCGCTCCCAGGACCGGGTTAAACGCCGAGAGAGGGGATCAGCCCTTAATCCTTAACCTCCCCGAAAAGAACAGCTTCTGTAGCCTTCAGTATCTGTACATCTCGGCCAAAGAAGTGCGAGAGAGGGAACTGTGACGATCGTGCAGGGGAACGCGAATTAACCACCAAGTGGCCAGGAACAGGAGGGCAGGCGGGCAGTGGGCCGGCTGTGTGGAGAGACGGGAAATGATAGAGGGAGAGCGCTTCCGGAAGTGGGTCCACAGGAAGTTGTGTGTGCACGAAAGTGCCAGCGCGCGCCACCCGGAGCTTTCCCCTGGAGGCCTGGGCAAGTGCGGTCTCCTGCGGGGAAAGTTGGGGATCGGGCTGAAAGAGCGTGCTGAGGTCCTCCCTTCCCGGGACTGGACACTTCTCCATCCCTGGGGCTCCACTTTCTTACTTTATGCCCTGGGGGAGTTACGGGAGACCGCGAGTCCCTGTGGGCGGCCAGGGACTCCCTATGTTACGTCCCTGTGTGATGGGCGTGTGTTACCGGGACGGAGTGCGGGGCTTGCCGAGGCGCATTGGCCCCCACCCGAGATGTCCCTGGGTCCACACTCGGAATCTCAGGACGCGGTGCTCCCCAGTGAGGTGACAGTGGGAACCCTACACGCTTCCGTCCGGCTGTGCCGCTCTCTGCTTGGGAGGCTCCGGCTGCGTCCTGCTGGTGCAAGGTGAACTCGGCCTCGGAGATCAGCCAGGCTGGACTCCACCCGGCTCTTTGAGGCACCCCACCTGCCTTTATAGCCGCAGCCCCTCTTGCTCTCTAACAGTTCCCGCCTTAGCCCTCCCCTGCTAGTCTACCTGCAGGACTTCTCCCCCAAATCCTCGCCTGGTGGCTCTGTATCTCCATTCGCTGCCCCTTTTGGGAGGTGCCTTCTTGGACTACCTGTGTAGGAGAAGACAGCAAGCATACCCCTGCCATCTCACCCACTAAAGCACTTTATTTCTTAGCACTATCACTGTTGTCATCACTGGTACTTAATCTCTAGCTGGAATTCTGTGCTTTCTTTGGCTGCTTTTTCATTCATTTATTGTCTGTTCCCCCAAAACAGTCTAAGTTCTATCCTTATCTATTTTGTCCACCTCTGTACCTCAACACCTAGTGCAGTGCCCAGCAGAGGGTGGCTTTCCCCTTTTGCCCTTTGAACAATTCTGCTATGAACATGGGCAAACAAATGGTTCTCCAAGACCCTGCTTTAATTCTTTTGAGTTGATACACAAGTGGAATTGCTGGATCGTGTTTAATTTTTGGAGGCGCCTCTGTACTGTTTTCCATAGCTGAACTATGTTACGTCCCGTCAGTGGTGCACCAGGCTCCAATCTCCACCTCCCACCAGCCCCTGCTATTTTCCTATTCTGATGGCTGTGATGTGGTCCATTATTTGTAGTTTTGGCTTGCATTTCCCTAATGACTAGTGGTGTTGAGCAGCTTTTCACGACTTATTGGCCATTTGTATTTCTTCTTTGTATTTCTTTGTATTTCTTCTTTGTATTTCTTTGTATTTCTTTTGTATTTCTTCTTTGTATTTCTTCATTTGTATTTCTTCTTTGGCGAAATTTCTTCTTTGCCCTCTTCTGTTTTTGTTTTTATTGGCACTCTGCAAGCGCTCTGGCCCTGAGCTACATCCCTAATCGCCCTTTGCCCATCTTTGAGTTGAGTTGTTTGTTTTTTTGTGATTGAGTTTTACCTGAGCTGCTTTTTCTGGCAGTGCAAATGGTTGTGTGGGAGGCACCTTGTCTCCCCCAGAGTGAGACCGGTTATGTTGCAGCTGGCTGCCGGGTGATGCAGACCCCGGCCTCCTTTGTGCCTTTGAGGCCTGCTGGGGAGAACTCACATTTTCCCAGAAGGGCAGAGCACACACTGAGTTCATCCCCAGCCCCTAGAATTATGTCGTACGCCGGCCACCATCTGTGTGTACTATCTCTCTTGCCCCACTGGGCCCTGCTGTGGCCTTGTAGTCCGGAAGGCTGGGGCACAAAGTGGCAAAGGGACTTGCTGCAGGTCTCACGGTTACACATCCCTGACTGGGGTCTGGACCAAGTCCCTTTGATAGGCAGTCTCACTGGCCTAGGCCCCCTGCCTGCAGAAACTTTTGGGATCACTGGCTGGAAACCAGGTCTAAACCAAGTCCCCTTTTTCACAGGTGGAGAAAAAAGGCCAGCCTGGTACCACCTGTAGCATCCCCTTCACTTCCCCAGCACCATCTCGGCCTTCACATGCCCAGCAGTATTGTTTGGGGCCCTGCCTTCATCTCCTCAGGCTCATTTATTATCTAAGGGTGAGCGGAAGGCCCAGGAAGCATAACTCCTTCCAACCTGCAGCTCATCTCCCAGGTTCTCCTCTCTAATGCTGCCTTCACAGAAGGTTTCAGGTCCTCTCAGAAAAAATTTTGGAAAGTTCTGGCTTTGACATCTTGCATGATTTGACCGCTAAGGCCTTCATCTCCAGAGGATCCCTTGCCTCTGGAGACGCCTTTTTGTCTGATGAGTTTGCTTGTCTTTCGTGAGGCCACAGTGAGGCCTAGATGCAATACGGTTTGACCTCCCCTCTGCCTTTCCTCCTCCCCTGAGTTTATTTTCTCTTCCAGATTGTTGCTGTCAATAAGGAGAGCAAGTACACCTGAATACCCAGGGCCACCACACTGAATCGGAGAGAGAATCCGTCTTTCTCCAACATGGCAGGTGATGGCATGTTATGGGGATTTAGACTTCTTTTTTTTTGCTACCGGGGATCGAACTTGGGACCTTGCACTTGCAAGGCAGGTGGCAGTACCACTGAGCTAAATTCCCCCCCCCCCCCACTTCTTATTAGAAGTCTAGGGGCTGGGGATTTAGCTCAGTGGTTCTGCCATCTGCCTCAAAAGCAGAAGGTCCTGAGTTCAATCCCCAGTACCAAAAAAAAAAAAAGTGGAAAACATCTGTTACAAAAGAAATCCAAACATAAACCCATTTCATTTGTGACATTGATCACTATCTGGAATTATCCTGCTTTGTATTTGCTTTAGTTTTATTGTCCATTTCTACTCCCTCCAGAATGGAAGTTTCTCAAAAGTGGGGGCTATGCCCACCCTGTCTTCACCCTGCCTCCAGTCCCTGTAATCATCCCTGGGGCAGAATAGGTCCTTAGAATTAGTTATTGAGTTATGTCTTTATTATTTTTCTTTTCCAGTGGTGGACTTCAAACCCAGGGTTTCATACATGCTTAAGCATGTACTCTGTCACTGAGCTCCATCCCAAGCCCCATCTTTACTTTTATGTCTTGCATACACACCATAAACATGCTGGTGTAGTTATTTTATTTATAGCAATTCTTTGGGTAACACCCCCCAGCTACAGTTTCTTTATAATATGGGCATTCGAACGTTAAACTTCATGGCGTAAGTGCCAGGTTTTGATGGGCCCAGGGGAGATGGAAGCAGAGTGTGCTCGATAAAAGGTGGCATGGCTGGTGCCTGCCAGTGTCAGATCGGCACAAAAGCTTACTTCCAGTAGCTTTTAATTTAGATCCTATACGGAGTGTCTTAGTCCCTTTGTCTTCCCTGGGACAAAATACCCAACAGCCACAACTTAAAGGAGATGTTTGTTTTGGCTCTCAGTTTCCATCCATGGTTGGGGGCCTCCGAGGCAGAAACAGAGTGGCAGAGGAGCATCGTGCCCCACCCCTGGCTGCCCCAAGCAGAGAGAGAAGGGTGGAGCCAGGGAGGGAGGGCACCCTTCCAGACCCCGCCCCCAAGACCTGGCTCTGACCAGGGTCCTCTCACAGCATGGACTCAACTCAAGGGAGTAAGTCCACCATCCAGTCACCTCCACACGTGAGAATTTGGGAGGACGTTTTAGATCTAAACCACAACACAGAGTGAGCCTAACACGTCTCATAGAAGCTATCTAAGCGAGATCAGGCTTTAAAAGGATTTAATTGTACTTATTGGTCTTCTTAGGAAACATAACTTGGCCCCTTGTGCTTGTGTGTATAGGCTGAGGATCCCAAATCCAAAGATCCAAAACATTCTGAGCACATGACAAATACTCCAGACTAAAATTCTTAGCACAAAATTTCAGATTTTAGAGCATTTCTCATTTCAAATTTTCAGAGCAGGGATACTCTACCTAAAAGTCTATGTAAGAATTCCAGAATCTGAAGAAACCCCAAGTCTGAAACACTCTGGCCCCACGCATTTCAGATAAGGATACTCACCTTGTATTTGTAAATCGAAGTAATGCTGAGCTATGAGGTGACAAGTGATGCACTGTTTTAAAATGTCCATCATTTTTCAGTCGTCACCCTGAAGGGTGCTTCCTCAGCTCGAGCCACAGTGACCCGCCGGAATAGCATTCTCACCTTCGCTGGGTCTTGGGCCGGGGGTGCCCTTCAGGACCCATCTCTCCTGCCACAGGGAAGAAAGTGCTCATCGTCTATGCGCACCAGGAGCCCAAGTCCTTCAACGCGGCCCTGAAGGACACGGCCGTGCAGGAGCTGAGCGTGCAGGGCTGCGCTGTCACCGTGTCCGACTTGTACGCCATGGGCTTCGAGCCCAGGGCCACCAGGAGCGACATCACTGGTGAGCCGCGGCCCACAAGCTCTGTTTGCAAACTTTCTTCCTTTCAGTTTACAGTTTTAACAAGGTCCCAGAGTCCCTGTCCCCCGGCCTCCCAAGCCCATGACAGCCTTCCACGTGTTTCCTGAGGTGGTCGGTGCTGAGCTAGCAGTCGAGGCTTTCTCCATTGTCCCTCCAGTTCTTACAAAAACAGTAGTGTAGCGTACTCATCGTTTCGCGTGTTGCGTCTTCCTGCCGTAAAAAGTATTCCACCGAACGGCAGTGTCGTGTTTAGCCCCTAGTGAAGGACCTCACAAGGTGTTTCTGATTCTTTGCTATGATTAACAATGCTGCGATGAGTAACAGCAGTCAGGTTTTTGCACATATGCTGGTTTATCTAGAAGTGGAATAGCTGGTCAGGGGATGTGCATGCTTAATTTTCATAGGTAATGTGAAGTTGCTATCCACAAATGCTACATCAGTTCACACTCCTGCCAGCAATGTTTGCAAAATCTTAATTCCTCCCAGTCACCAACAGTGTTACCAGTTTTTTGATCATTGCTGGTCTAACAGTTGGAAAAATGGTCTCCTGGTATAGTTCTGATTTTTCCCTCTCTCAATATAGGTGAGGTTTAATATCTTAATGTTTTATATTCTATTCATTAATATTTAGGTTAATATTAAATATCCTCTGCTTAAATTATCTGCTCATTTTTTATTAGTATTGGTCTTTTTTTAACTAAAGAACTCTTTAGATAGTCAACAAATTAACCCATAGTATAGAATATGAGTTACAAATACTTATAATCTCTTTTGTTTTTATTTTGATTTGACTTTGCTTATGGTAGCTTTTTGTACACAGGATCTTACTTACCTTTTTTTTTTTTTTTCTGGTACTGGGGATCGAACTCGGGACCTTGCACTTGGGAGGCAGGTGGCAGCACCACTGAGCTAAATCCCTGGCCCTATTTATTTTTTGATCAGCCTTTTTCTTCTAGGACTTTTGGGTTTTATGTCATGCTTACATATACTCTAAGATTGTAGGAAGTTTTATAGTTTCATCTAGCATTTGACAGATTCTACTTTGTGGATTAAAATACTTTATTCTCTGGTTTTCCTCCAAATACCTACTGAGACATCTCATTGCCACTTATTGCAGGATCCAGGATTTAAAACACCACTTTCACTGTGACCCGAATTCCCACTTGTTTGATTGTGTGTACTCTCTTTATCCTGTTTTGCCATGATTCAGTGCCACCTGGTTTTAATTATGTCGTCAAATAACATAATTTAGGATCTCATAGCACTAGGTCGCTCTTTTCCCCTATTTTCTTCTAGTTTTTCTAACAATATTTACATTACTTTTCCATAAATTCTTTTGAATCAGCTTTCCAGGCTGGAAAAGAAACTTGGTGATTTCTCCCTTGAGGTTCCATGAAGTTGAGAGATGAACGTAGGGAGAACCGACCTACAGCGCCGATCCTTTCTCTGAGGAGCCTGGGCACCCCGGTTCTGGCGGGGTGGCAGGGATGTCCCGATTCTCACCCACGAGTGAGAGCCTCCGCCTTCCCTGTCCCCAGGTGCCCTCTCTAGCCCCGAGAGCTTCAATTACGGGGTGGAGGCCCATGAAGCCTTCAAGAGGCGGGCCCTGGCCAGCGACATCCTTGCTGAACAGAGAAAGGTGCAGGAAGCTGATCTAGTGATATTTCAGGTTGGTTCTTTCTCCAGGTAATGTGTGAAGTCAGATTCATCCCATGTACAGACTCCTTCTAGACACTGCGTTATGTGCTCATAGAAGTGGTGCCAACATTTTCAGCACACTGAAGCCAACTTGATTACAACAGTTAGTCACAGTACTTCACCTCGTTAGTAGGGAGATTCACGTGGCTGTTATTACTCACAGCCCTGACCTCCTAAGTAAACAGGAAGGAAGGACTTTTCTGTTAGCCCAGTGGTCCAGGAAAATCCCAATCATGCTAGTCTCCTTGCTTTCAGTCTCTCCCCACCCTGACCCCCTTCCTCAGTGTGCCAGGCCACTTGAGAGCCAGAGTTCCCTAAGGGGTATCCGGCAAGGTCACTTGGCCAAAAGCAACTGGCTTTCAGTGCCCTGATCGTTAAAAGGAAAATCTTTTGTTTCTGTCTTCTTGCTGCTTGCTTCACACACACACTCACTCACACACACACACACACAGCACCTTCCGTGTGTGTCCCCAGCCCCAGGAGTGTGGCCCAACCCGCCTCCCCAGCAGCACTTGGCAGGCGGGCAGCTGCGGCCGAGTCTTGAGCCTGGCAGTTGAGTTAACGTGTGCTTTGGGGATCACCGGGTCAACAGAAATCCAAGGCAAACCAGAAGGAAGGGCGTCTGTCGTGAGGCCCCAGCCGCCTGTATCTCCTGGGTGTCAGGGACGGGCGCCCATGGCTGGGCAGGAGTCTCAGCTCTTGCTGCACACCAGGGACCAGATGCCCTCAGTCCAGTCTTCCCAAGCAAGGGCTCTTACAGGTCCCGATCAACTTCCAGATGGCAACAGCTCAGCCCAGGCACCGAAGGGGAGCACCCTTCCACACCCCCTTTTGTCCCCTCAATTGCTGGGGTCCCAAGGACTGCTGCCCCAGGCCAGGGCCCAGTTTCACCTCTCCCTGCTTGCCCAGTGACAGCATCAGAGGCCGACACTGGGGGACACAGAGCCACTGTAGTAGCACCTGGGCCCAGTGTCAGTTACCTCTCCTGCTGCAGGCTCCCTGGCCACACAGTGCACTTAAGAGCAGACCGTGTGGATGGCCCGTCTCCCCAGGAGCCAGGAAGAGGAGGGCAGTGGGGCTGGTTCCGAATCACCGGGTAGCTGAGCCACCTCACGAGTTTCCCCTGTGTGCCACCCCAGTTCCCGCTGTACTGGTTCAGCGTGCCGGCCATCATGAAGGGCTGGATGGACAGGGTGCTGTGCCAGGGCTTCGCCTTCGACATCCCGGGGTTCTACGATTCTGGTTTTCTCAAGGTAGGTGCCCCAGGACTCAGATCACTGTAGATTGCTGGAGTGGGAGGCAGGAGGAGGGGTAGCTGCCAACTTCCTGTTCTACTTTGCTTCCTTTTTTAAAGCAAGTACTGATTGAACACCTACTGTGTACTGTACAGAGCAGTGTTTCTGAGTTCATGGCATGCTCTGTCCAGTGGGGGCTGCAGCGTGAGCGTGGTGAGGGAGGGCTGGGGTCAGCCTGGGCCAGAGGCACTTCGGCCCTGAGATGAGTCCCCCCTGGCCTTGCATGGGTCCACCGCTGAGCGCCACATGCCTTCAAGGTGGAACAAGGGAATGAGACACCTGCCTGGCGGGCTGGCCATGCATGGGACCTGGTAGATGCTTGGTTTGCAGCAGCTGTGAGCTTCTTACTAAAATAATTTCCTACTGGAATAAATGATTTTTTGAGTTCTAAAGTCTCAAAAGTAAATGCATATAAGGCAAACAGCCGGAGTAACCAGGATCTGTCTTGGGAGGTGAGTGATGTGCCAGTTGTTAGTGGCTGTTGTCACCTCCGCCCCAGCGTCGGTTGAGGACACCACACCTGACACCCAGCCTGCTAGAAGTCGGCCAGGTAGCACCTTTAGGTCCGCTCATCCGTCACTGGGTGTTGTGTCCTTTCTTGTCAGCCTGGGCTGTCACCGGGGGGGAGATGGGGTGTTAATGTTTGTCCGCCCCTGGCGGGGCCTGACCAGGTTTTCCTCCTGGCCACTATGACCCATCCATCCTTGTCTGTCACCCACACTAACACCTTTCCTTTCTCGGTGCAGGGGAAACTAGCCCTCCTTTCGTTAACCACTGGAGGTGTAGCCAGCATGTACACGAAAGCCGGCGACAGCGGAGACTTCCGGTACTTTCTGTGGCCGCTCCAGGTCAGCAGGCAGGAGGCTTCCCCACCGTGCTTTCTCCACCTCCGCGTTACCAGAACTGTTAACCTTTTCCCCTTCTAATCTTTCCCATGGCAGCATGGTAGAGGTTGGCCAGTGGGGAAAGCATGTATTATAATCGCAGCCTTTGCTATCGTTTGGCCTGAAGCCAAGCTGGACCTGGGAGGGGAGGAGGGAGGGTGTTGTCTGTGTTTCCGGGCCTGACGTGGCCCTCGGGCGGTGCTGGGGGTGTGTGTGTGTGTGTGTGTGTGATGAGCCAGGGGCACAGCTGCAGAGCCATCCACACAGACTCACCGTGCTCATGAAGCCAGCACTACCCTGGGCCCTGGTGAGGAGTGGGTGCCCCAGGCCCCATATCCTGGACAGCCTCGTGCAGGCCCCCCCACCTTGTAGAGAGCACAGCCCCTCCTTGGACCCCAGACTCTGTCCTTCCTGCCCTGCAGCCCTACCTCCCAGGCCACACTCCCAGATGGACCTCTGCTGCCCGAGTGCACCTCAGGTCTAGGCATGGCCATCTACCTCCAAGCAGCAGGCTGGGTGTCCACGGGCAAAGCTGGGGAGGGCTCCAGGCTAGGGACATGGGGAGACCCCACACCTAAGGATAGTGGCACAATCAGTGGTAAGCTCAGTTTGTCCAATGCAGCTGCCCGAGCTCTTCCCCTGTTTATGAAGTCTTACATTGCACATTCTAGGAAAGTCTGCAGTTTTCAGTTACAGTGTAGCATTGAAGTTGTTTTACAACTTCCTGAGAGTTTGCTTCTTACACTTCCCCTTCAGTCATTTAACTTAACGGTGCAGGCGTGGCTTCTGACCAGTGCTCTCCTCTCTGTGGCTTTAGCATGGCACATTGCACTTCTGTGGATTTAAAGTCCTTGCCCCTCAGATCAGTTTTGCTCCTGAGTATTCATCAGAAGAAGAAAGAAAATCAATGGTGGCCTCATGGACCCAGAGGCTGAAGAGCCTGTGGACAGAAGAGCCCATCCAGTGCTCGCCATCGTGGTACTTCGGGCAATGACATCTCTGCCCGAGCGTGTCATGGAGACCCAAGCATGCACAGGAGAAGATGCTGTCATGAAATAACGTTACTGCAGAGAGAGCCAGATCTAGTTCATGATGCCCAGGAATGAGTCTAGCCAGGTCACGTAGTCCAATACAGTACCTTGATTTCATGGATTCTGTCAGCTAATCATTGTTCACCCAAAGTTTCATTTTGTTTGTCTAATATCTGTCTCACTGTGTTCAGTCTTCATGGTGGTTTTAATTCCCACATAGTTCTCTGGGCATGGAGCTGGATTTGTTCTTTTTTGTTTGTTTAGTTGGTTTTATTTCATGACTCAACTTAAGAGTTCTGTATTTTCGTAGGAAAGTTTAATCCATTTGCAGCTAATGTTTTAGTGCTATGTTAGTACCTATTTCTTCTGTCTTCTTTTTTCTTTATATTTGCATTATGACTATGAAGGGTTTTTAAAATTTTTTGTTATTGTTTTTGCCGTACTGGGGATTAAATTCAGGACCTTGCACTTGCAAGGCAGGTGCAGCACCACTGAGCTAAATACTGGGGTTATGACTATGAAGTTTTAATTGAATGGCTAGTTGCCATGTTTTTAAAAATCATTTAGTACCCATTACAATGAAGATTTTGGTGCCTTAGCCTGGTGGCCTCTGATCACTGTATGTGTGGTCGTGGAACACGGCGGTCAGGTACCCTGAATGGCAGACGCATGTCCGTGGAGAATGAGTGTCAGTGAGACCAGGAATGTGAGTTTAAGGGATCAAGTGTCACCATCACCATCATCAAGCATCGTACCAACGTTCTCCTCCCCTCATTGTCATCACTGCTGAGGACAGAGCTGCCACCCACGCCCAGGGGACCACCTTCCCAGCACCACCCACAGAGCCCCCTCAGGCTCCGCGAACAGCTTCCTGTTGGAGTCGTCATCTTCACACCGCCCGGCGTCTGCATCTTCCTTTCCCGTGCGCCCTCCACGCCTCTGCAGCAGCTCCTTCACACCTCTCTCAACTGCATTCCTTCCTGCACTGCTTCATGTGACTCTCAGCGAATACTTTTCCAAATAACTCTTCTCTTTCTTCTGAGTCTTCACAACTCTCCTCCAAGGCTTCTTCGTGAACACTTTCTCAGGGCCACTTTCCTACTTTTGTTCAGGACCATTTTTGTCTAATTATTTTTGGCACCATCTTCAGGCTGCTTTCCTAACAGTCTTTGGGTGATCTTTCCAAAACATCTTTTTTTTTTTTTTTTTTTTAAGTCTTGGTTGGAACTGTCTTCTGGACCTCTTTTTTGGGCCTACCTTCTTAAGAGTTATTTCAGAAATACTTGCTTCAGAATCTCCTCACCTGCTGGTTTTTCGAGCACCTTTTCCATCTAAGTACTTTAAAGCTGGGCATCCATCCCGGATGTTCGGAGATGCTCCAGAAATGCCTCACTTAGCCCTGCCCTTCACAGAGCAGAGATGACGCTGGGACACTGCCTGCCCCTTGGCTCCAGGGGCATGAAAGGAAGCTCCCACCCTCTCAGCTTTGCGCTCCCTTCAGCCCAGTCCTCTTTGGCCCCACCCCATGTTGGATGGAGGTTCCCACCCTGAAAACCACTTCAAATCAGAGGTTTGAAGATGGTGACCACTGCCATGTCTTCATCCGAGTCTTTCAAAGAGAAGGAGCCCCCTCCTTGGCCCAGGCTTCCCCTGGCATCTGTCCCAGCAGGTGCTCCCTACACACCTGTTGGAGAGCAAGGGCTACACCCAAGTGCACCCATGCCACGTCGCAGGCAGCAGACAGCAGCTTGGCAAGACTGTAGCACCCCTGTGCACGAGCATGTGCTTCTCTGAGCACAGGTGTGAGAAGTCATGGACTTCTGGCCAGTTGGACACTTCAGTGTTCGTTGCTCATTCTGTGGTTTCCCCCTGCTCTGGTGATTGCAGAAACGGTGAAAGAGTGCCCCTGCTGCCCCCTCTTAGTAGGGGACTGAAGGCTCAGGAGGCCAGGTGGTGAGAAATGCCTTGGAGCCATCTCCTTTCTCCCTGCCGACCCAAGGATGCAGTGGGCAGCACAGCTCCCCACTCCTCCCTGCTCAGCCGGCTGCAGCTGTGTAAGGCTGGCAGATGGACAGCAGCACTGCCTGTAAGAGCCGTATCCTGCAGTCCTTTGGGTAGGAAGCCCTCCATCCTTCCTCACCAACTCCTAAGTGTTAGGATGAGGGGTGGGAATTTTAAAAGGAAGACTTCTCATTGTGTGCCCAGGTTTCTGGAGCCCTGTTGCCCTGGGATGGTATCAACTTGACTTTGCATATGCCAAAGTCAAGTTGATTGTCTTCCAAGCAAAATTGCTAGCAATTTGAGAGCTGGGGCCTTGATTAGATCCTATTCACTCTCTCCACCAATCATTGGTTTTTAAAATCTTGCTGTGGTGAAACAAAAATAAATCCAGCATCACCAGGGTAACAGGATTACTGTTCAAAAACAAAAAAAAGTGACTGCAGCTGCAGCTGTGTTTTAAGGCACCATTTCTGTTAGGAGCACAGGACCCTTGTGGCTTCACAAAGGTGTCTTTGGCTGTGCAGTTAGGTCTTTGAGCCTCTTTAGGTGGAGGAAGTTAAAAAAGAGGAAGGACAAATATGTTGCTTAATGTTAGAAAGCAGCAGGAGCTGGGAGGAAATTCTGGCAGCTCCAGGGCATAGTTGGTGCCTTGTACCCAGGGAAGGAGGAAGCAGGCAAGTGTCAAGATGGGGAGGACAAGCATTGCTGAATGATGTACTAACATGCAGTGCTTTCAGCCACTTGTTTCATAAAATGCACTGAGAATAAAGCTTATCAGGAATCAGATCATGTATCATTTGAGCTCTTGAGTCAGTGATGGAAAATTTTTTTTTTTGGGGGGGTACCAGGGATTGAACTTGGGACCTTGTGCTTGCAAGGCGGGTGCCGGAACCACTGAGCTAAACCCCCAGCCCAGTGATGGAAATTTTTAAATTTTGTTTTTTATTAGTACATGTTTGCAGCACGCAATGATTACATTCCTCATGGGGAGTTGGTACATGTACATAACACATCTTAATTTTTTTTTCATCTCCTTCCCACTCCATCTCTTGGTCCTCTTCAGTTTTGCAAAAGGTCTATTTTCCTGTTTCCATTACCTACAAAGATGAAAGTTTGGTGCTGATTTCTCCCAACATGAACGGGCAGTCTGTAAGGAGATTTTTATTAGGATCCCAATTTTACAGATGGAGAAACAGGATCACAGGATTGAAGTAACTTGTCCAGGGTTCCAACACTACATCTGGGAGAGCTGAGAGCAAACTAGGGTAACCTCAGGAGCTTGGGCTGAGGTGAGTAGTATGGGGAACTGGAGCAGCAGTGAACACAGCCAGTTTTAGGAAGTGACTCTCAAGGTCTCTACAGGGGAGTTCACAGAGCTGAAAAATTGAGCTGTCCTCAGAAGGGCAACTCAGAGGAGAAACAGTCCATGGCATGGCAGGCAGGAAGCGGCAAGCCTCCCTTTCCCTTTTATCTCATCAAGGGTACAAGCCTAATGGTTGATTCCACCCCCATCCAGGTTGGGCCTTCCCATTATCCTTCCCTAGAACTCTACTAAGCCAATCATTGGACTAATTTAGTCAGCATACCCTTAATCCATAATCCCATACCCTAGATCCAGCCACCTTTGGGCACATGAGGCTTTAGGGGACACCCACCTTCAAGCTATAGCAGGGTCTAATGCTGATAACCTGGAAAAATGGAGTAACACTAAACTGGGAGTGTGTGTGACATGGACAACTGAACTGGGACCCTGTACAAAGGGTCTCCGCCTTTATGAAAAAGTGAGTGGAAAAGCACATCTGCTCTTAGAAGGAGACAGGCAGGTAACCTATTTCATTCTCATCTGGATGGAAAAAATCTCTCCTGTACCATGGAATCTTGGATTGGACTTAATTCTACCCACATTTAAAATCTAAAGAAATCAAGTGGCTCCAAATGATAGTGACTCTTGGTATAGGAAGAAATAAACACAAATTCTTTCTGGAGAGAAAGATCATCCTGTGCTTGTGAGGATTTCCTCTTATTAAGGTCAACTGAATATAAGCCCTCCAACATTACCAAACACAGGAAATAAGACATCATAACTGAATAAGCAAAACCACCTACCAATAGATTTAATCACCCATGAGCTTCAAATATTGGCTATATAACAAAATAACTGTATAAACCAAATATACCCATGTTTAAAATGTTCAAAGACTTCAAAAGTGGTGGGACAAATTTGAAAACAGTAGATCTAGAATAGAAATACATACAAATTGCAACTAAGGACTGCGTCAAATACTAGATTAGACACTGATGAGAGAATTAGTGAACTGAAAGAGATTTGAACAAATGAAATGAGGGGGAAAAACATTAAGAGGCATAGAGAAGAGTAAAATGATGTAATGTGGTTTTAACTGGATTTCTAGACTGAGAAAATGGTGGGTGCCATATTTCAAAAAAGAAGGGTTGAGAATTTTTCAGAATTCGTAGTGAAGGGGCCAGGGATTTAGCTCAGTGGTTCTGGTGCCTGTCTCACAAGCTCAAGGTCCTGAGTTTGATCCCCGGTACCAAAAAAAAAAAGAATTTGTAGTAGACACTAGTACTCAGATACTATATCAATAGTCTCAAGCAGGGCAAATAAATCCAGTATCCAGATGCAGCATGGTGAAACAGTGGAACACAAAACAGAAAAAAAACAGATCAACTATAATGGAACAGCAGTTTAACTGACAAAAGGTTTCCCAGTAGCAGCAACAGGAACAAGAAAACAATGCAATAATATTATCAATGTATCACACAAAAAAAGACAGCTGTAAATCTGGATTTTCTTTTCAATTATTAGAACAAAGACATTTTAAAAGGTCAAACAGGTGTGGTGGCATACACCTGTAATCCCAGTGCTCAGGAGGATGAGGCAGGAGAATCACCATGAATTCAAAACCAGCCTGGGCTATATAATGATGTCAAGGCCAGTCTTGTGAGATATATCTCAAACAGTATTTGGAAAGATACGTATATCTTTGTTCAAAGAAGAAAGACTGAAAATAACTCAGATGAACGGCATATCCAGGCGGGAGTATGAGAACACACATACACCCACAGGTACAAGACATTTTGCAGAAGACCTGGCCGATGAATATAAGCAAAGATGTCAACTTAATGATAAAAATAAATGCAAATGAATAGTAGCACAGTGTTCTAGCACTCTATATCCACCACCCTAGCGGATATCCTAAAGTTTAGATAGTATCAAGTGTTAGAATGAAAGTGATGAAGAACTTATTACCCAGTGAGAGAATAATTTGTTTAAGATACAGAACACAAATTAGGGCCGAGGATTTAGCTCAGTGGTTTCGCCGCCTGCTGCGCAAGCGAAAGGACCTGAGTTTGATCCCTGGTACCAAAAAAAAAAAAAAAAAACACAAATGATTTCTTTAAAGACCTGCAAACCCTTACCATCACATTACTACTATGAATATTTAATTATAATTGTACTGCCTAAGTATGTATCTCTGAGTGACTTTTATTTGGCATCTTTTTATTCTTAGGGGTATTCTGTAACTTGCTTTTTTTAAGTCACCTTTTAAGTTATAAAATAGATATATCTCAATGGGTGTACCTATAGTTAATTATTTTCTTGCTGGGTAAGAAGATGTATAAATTCTCCATCACCTTTCATTCTCACTAATACTAAACTTTAAGATACCTGCTAGGCTGGTGCATGTAGAATGCTAGACACTGTGGTATTATTCATTTGCATTTATTTTAATCATTAAGTTGATGTCTTTGCTTATGGGTAGGTGTCACTCTTGGTCACTGCATGACTCAGTGGACATCTGCCACTGGAATGGACATGGTTTTGGTGGGTCGGTGTCTTCGTGGCCACTAGGGGCGCCCATGAGTGTCCAGAGTGCGCCCAAGGGCTTGTCCATCTGAGATGTACAGTGAGTCATTCAGGGCCCAACGTGGTAGAGTCAGAAGAATGAGGGTAGAGAGTAGATCAGACTTTCCAGCTTGCTCACATTTTGAGATTTGGAAACAAAAACTTGTAAAATCCCCAGAGGTTCTTGTACAAATTCAGAGTAGAAGAGGGGAGCTCAGCTGCTGAGGGTATTTGGGGACCCGGAGATTCACTGGAGGAAAATGAAGGTTTTGATCCCCAAGCCAGCATTGCAGATGACTCCAGGCTGTCTTCAGTGTGCTGGCGCCGGCGCACAGCTAGCAGGGGGCAGCAGGGAGCACCCGAGGGTTCATTCTTAGGGATTCCCACTCTGGGGGTGAGAATGCTCCTCTCCCCTAGCAAAGTGTATCCTGGAGAAAGGGATTTTAACTGGAAAAATATCCACATATATCAAGGGATCTACCTTTTGTAATCCTCCAAATTAGAGCCATAAATAAAATCTTCAAGGGAAAAGCCACTTTTCCAAGACATGAAACATGGGCCTTGGAGATGAGGATGAAAACAATAACATATTTGATTCTCAACCCCTATGCTTGGCAAAGGGCCTAAAACATTGCTGTATGAGGACCATGTACCACCTCTGCTCTTTAGGGCCTGAGAGACCATTCAACACCTAGAGTTTGTCATGGAAAGTGTGGCCCTGACCCACACATCAGTATTCAGCCTTCATTGCAGCCGTGTCTGGCAGAGGGTGTTCACTGTTTAGTCTTCAAGGGTGAAATGTGTTCCGGGGATCTCAGAAATGGAATGCGCCACACCGGGAATGGGTGAGGGAGGAGAGAAGCAGGAGCCAGAGGGAAAGCAGGAGGAGGAGAAGGAGAGGCATTATCAGATAGTCCCTTTAGAAATAGCTCACCAATTAAATGTATTTTAGGTCTTTCTTGCCTCAAAGAATTGAACAAGAGGAGCCAAAAATGGTGCCAAAAGTTTATTTGAAAAGTGAGAGGTGAAGAGGTTAGGAAAATACTAGCTTTGCAGAGCGAACTTGGCCCAAAGAAAAGAGGAAAGGAGAAAAAGAGCAAAAATAAAAATACACCCTGGTCTAGAAGACACAGAGTGGGCTGCCATGAAGAGTCACAATAGTTGGTTCCTCGTGGTATCTGTGTCCTTATATGTCATCCATGTCTTGTGGGAGCTTATGAGAAGTTCGACTCACATACAGGGTCCTGGAACTCATTTGGTGCTGCCCTGGGATCTTTTAGTTAATGGGACCCACTTATTTCCCCAGCCAGCTTTGCCACACCCTAACTTCTATATCATCTCCCCTCTGAGAGACATAAATCCCATAATTTTTACAGGGTGCTGAAGGGGTGGTGGTCTCTGTCTTCTATAGCTTAAGCTGGCCAGAGCTGTACACCCTACTTACTAGGGATTATGTACTCCAACTACCAGGGGCTGTTGTGGCTTGCTTGCTGGGTTGAGAACAAACCTGCCAGAAAATGAGAAAAGAGTGACCATTGAGCTGCCTGTTGACAGGAGAATGAAACTTTACTATTAACCCAAATGTGAGGAGCAGGTCAGACTTCCATGCTTCCTGAGAGCCTTAGAAAGATCCTGTTTACTTATCCATAGCAGCACTGGACTTTTGTTTTTTGAAGAGAAATCTCAAGTCTTCCAGAGGCTTACAGGAGTAGTTTTCTCCTTTTGGGTGATCTTGTTCTTCAGACAGTTCAGATGGGACTCGATTTAGTCTAGAAAGATGAATGCAATTATCTGTCTCTGCCACCTTTACTGCAGTGGGTGTGGCAAGGATCACTGAAAAGGGGCCCTTCCGTTTGGCTGCAACTGGTCAACAGATGTTCTTTTTTTCCAAATTTTTACAAGCAGTTGGTCTCCAGGG